TTGACTATGTGCTGTGAATATGTTCTAATTCTAATAACCAAACATTTTAACTCAATCTCACAGATTTTAAAAAATAATTTTCTGTTTAAAAGTTGCTCTTTGTTTCCTAGTTACTGTAGATAGTTTTTTTTTTTTTTTAAATATATATATCCAAATGTTGTACAGTATGCATGACCTACTGAAAGCAGACACAAGACACTACCAGAATATTGTGGTTCAGTTACTCTAATGGGATGTTCTTAAAAAATTACTGTAGAGTGCTAATAATTTACAAGGACACTAGTATAATGTGGCTATCAAGAAATAATTATTGTCTATTTATTATTTACAGAAACCATTACACCCTGGCAGATCTGGTCCCTAAAAGGAGAGTTGTAAATGCAGTTGGTTAAATGAAAGAACACCCAGAAACTTCTACTGATATCAACCATGTTTATATTTGGAACAGAATATTGAACTGTAAACCAAAAAGATGCCTGTGTTATGACCTTACTATCACTGATCATACTTAGGATTGTGTTTATAAGTTTTGCTGCAAATCTACACAGACTGATGCCAGTCCTGAAATTACAGACCATGATATGAATGAAAATATTTAAACAATTTACATCAGCTTATCAAAAAGAAGTACTGTACTGTACATTATTTAGGGAATTTAAACAAGCGAAGTGTCTTGTCCAAGAACCCAGGCAATGTACACAGCATGTGTCCTTGTACAAGACACTAGATCTTGGCTTGTATCTATCTCTCTCTCTCTATCCAGGTGTATAAAGCAATATAAATGATGTTCTTATAGTAAAACAATGTTAATATAATAATAAAGTGTCTTTTCATGCTGTCGATATGCATTTGGTTGACTGTAATTTGTAATAATTTTTGTACTGGTGATATTCTGTGAAACATCATTTACAGTAAATGGTAAATACTGATAGTAGCTTAATATTGGTTAAACTTTTAAGACTCAAATGTTTCCCTTCTAAGTGATGTTACAGCAGATCACACTCAACTAATTCACTTAATTTAGTACAGTATTAATTTTAAAGGCAACAACAATTTCTTCATCACTATTGATGAATAACATCATCTGTCCTTATATAAATCAATGCAAACAATTAAAGGGGAACCAAGACTTGCAAATTGATCAGTTTGCCTTTTTATTCACGTGATATGCATCAATATTTTAACAATGCTAAAATAATAATAATAATGTTTACAATACATTTACACTAATTCTGTTAAAATATCTACCATGTACAGTAGGAAAGACCTACTACTTCATCAAAAACAATCAATTTGTCCATCTTTATTGAATAGCGAAGAGCTGTGATGAGTATCAGTGTGCATACTGATGTACACATGCAGTTCATATATTAAAGGATAATCTTGCAAAATGGCTACAGCATTTACCTTAAGAGTGGATTTCAGAGGCAATACAATCAAATTTTATCAAGTAATTGTTGTGTGTTTAACAGTTATTTCAACATTGTGATAGTTGCTAATAGCCTGTGAGCAGTGTACACTGCCTTTTAGATTGTACTTCCATCAAACTTAAACTCAATCATGCAAATCCCTCCAGAACTCGGGTAATTTTGGCCTTGCACTGTGCTTCGATAGTTTGCATTTGGTTGTTCATCACAAGCTGGTGTATTAATGAAATAGTTGACATAACTGGAAAAAAAAAATGTTTATCATTAACATTGGCCTAATGCAATTATTATACAGATGCACAAAATACTGTAGTGTGATAATAAATACAAAATCAAGAAGATGCATGTTGACATATAGGGAGGTCCACTTTTTCAAGTCAAATTCTTGCCTTTGAAATTCAGTCTTGGCCATTCTTGAATATCATCTTTCCACATCATAGGCCTACTTCAAAATTACGTTTAAAACATTTCACTAAAATTGTAGGGCTAAATACTAAGATATAGCATGGCCTTGGTTTAGAGCGTTGTTGTTGGCCTAGGACTCGGCTAGTAGTAATACTAGGCTTAGGGTAATAATAGCATTTATTAAATAATATTTATATCATTTTTATGGTCTGTTTAAAATAATAGCAGATGACAAATTAGCAGATAGCCTACATAGGAGCAGGAAACAGACGTCGTCGTCATGTTATCCAGTAGCCTACTGACACACTGACTGACAATCTTCTAAGCTAGGCCAAAATAAATTGGTTATCTGCTGCACGGATAATACACCGCCGCGCTTGAACCTGCCAAAGGAACAGGAGTAGGCCTAGCCTAGATCCTCCTCCAGTACAGATCAGAGAGTAGACGTTTCTAAGTCGTATCTTTATTCTGTATTAAATACACATAATAATATACTTATCTTTTAACTTCGATAAACTTTTGGTTCGACTGTGACGGCAAGATAAAAAGCCGGATTTCTCAATGGTACTTTGTTTATAAACACACCACACCGCATTGCAATTTAGGGGATTAGGGACTCCCCAGTAATGGCGTCGACAACGGAGGGCACCATTCTTCTTGGATAGGTCTATATAGTATGGTGTGTTGTGTAATTGTATGCATGCTAATAACAGTTACAATTCGAGCGGATTTTTTTTAAAATCTTTCACTTAAAGTTTTATGACGTCATCATCTTTATCTTACGTTCGTAAAATCGGGGTTCGTAAATGAGGGTTTCTACTGTATGTGGTATTTTCTCTTCTATCTATCTGTTGTGAATTCTGAGTCACTCTTCAGTAGTTCTGCTGTTATTGAATCTACACCAGGTGATTTTCCATTCTTTAGTGTTTTAAGTGCTTCCTTTATTTCATGCTTGGTGACACTTCCAGTGTTTTTCTTGCTGCTTTTTCTGCTTCTACTGTGATATCTTCAATCCATTTCTTTTTTATCTTGCCTTATTTTCCTTTTTACTTCTCTGTCCTTTGCTTTGTATCTTCTCTTCTCTCTATCCTTTTGTCTCTCAGACCTTGTACTTAAAATAGTTTTATGAATCTTGTTTCGTTGTTCTATAAGCATCCATGCTTCATGACTTCATCCAGGGCTTCTTTTTTTTGTTTCTTTCTTCCTAACACTTTCTCTGCTGTTTTGGTATATGTTTCTTCTATTACCCTAGACATATCTTCCACTGTATTGTCATGTTCTTTGTCTTCCGCTTCATCTTTTAGCATTTCAAATCTATTTCTCAACTCAATTGCAAATTTATTTCTCACCTGGTTGTTTCAATTTGTCGGTATTAAATCGAATCCTCTTTTCAACCTTTCCTTTTGTGGCAGCCTTAAGTTTTAATCGTATAGTTGTTCTCACTAAATAGTGATCACTCCCAATATCAGCCCCTCTGTACACCTTTGTGTCCAAAACTGAATTCCTATTAGCGCCTATTTATGAGAGTGTGGTCAATTTGGTTCTTGGTGCTTCCATCCGGAGATATCCAAGTTGCCTTGTGGATATTTTTATGTGGAAATATGGTTCCTGTGATCACTAGCTCCTTTAGGTCACACATTTCACATAATCTATTTCCATTTTTGTTTATATTTCCCATGCTGTTACCATTCCCTTTACCACAATACCTGTTTCAGCAATAGCTCTGACGGGTTGAGGAACCTCACTTTGCACTGACCTTAACTGACAATCAAACTCAATATCAAAAGAGAGAGCCGAAATGTTAATTAGTTTTCCAGCAAGCTGTCAATAAATCACATAGGCATACCTATGGTATAGTATAGTATAGCTGACCTTGCATAGGCAATAAATTACAAAAGCTATGATTATAGTCCAATTAAAGAGCAATGTCCCAAAAGATGGTTGGAAATCAGGAAAATATTTGCTGTGAAGCAGCCAATTCATATTCTTGACAGCAATTTGACCTCTGAAAGGTCATTGTTTGTCAAAAAACCTGCGCCTAAGACAACTGAAAAGCGGAGTTTCCTTCTTTCGTTCTGCCGGGTAAAAATCAATTACTTTAGGCGATGTTTGTAGACTAACCTACTCGTACCAACGTCCGCATGTCGCGACGCTGGAGTACTATTCAGCGTTTTTACTATATTTCTAGGTTTCCTATTTCTACGTTTAATCGG